AAGAGAAGAAGTGGACTGTCTACACACATTTCCGTCCACATCTTCTCACTTTTGTCTAAATGCATGATCACATAATCACAAAGAAAATATGATGCAGTGAGACTAAAACATAAGCATATGAATATCAAGACTTGCAATAAAGAGAAAGGAATGCCAATTGGCTCAATGAAATGAATTTAGAGTGAAGACATGAGATGACAGCACATGAAAGGCAAGGCAAATAAGAAGAATCCAATTCTTGTTCCTCTTAACTCGTCACATGTGAACATTAAATACTTGTTTTGTCTTTCCTTCTTGCTTGCCACTTACAAACAACTACAAACACACACATCTTCAATTTCTTGTCAATTCCGATCTATAAAGCTCCCTTCTTTGTCTTTATTAGTGAGGCTTAAAGTGAGTGCTTAGTATCTTAATTTAATACTACAAGAAAGCAGAACATTTCTCCAAAATGAAATGCATAAATGAAGAAGGGATTACAACTCACCCCACCAAACAACCTTATACAACACCCCCAAAACTAGCAATTTTTTATCCTGTTTTGCTTATAACCCTCTGGATAATCATATGTTGAAGGGTAGTGGAATTACACACAAGAGCAAACACATTTTTGGCTCAATCACATGCCCATATAACAGCTACAAGATTATACATGTATATTTGGATTGGCTAGGCTCTGAGAGCTTACTAGCGTGAATGCAAGCTTCACAATGTAGTGAGCATAAGTCCAAAGAGAAATTCATATCCCAAAAGATTAGTTTGTTGAGAGGAAGAATCCCTTGAACTTATAAAATCCATTTTTCTTATGAGACTCTCCTATATAACATTCCTAACACACAACTCAGATAATATTTACAAAAAACCACTTATAGATTGTCCACTGATGAAGTCTTCATATTGGCATCAGTATTCAAACAAACCAATGCTCTTGTGGAGAATGAGAGTTGTATCCAGTAACAAGTCCAAGAGTTACTGAATGGTTTTGGGGGGGGGGATTGAAAATAAAACATGAAGTGAGGAAGCCAAAATCCAATGTTTTTTAGAAGTAAACATTCTAATTTTTTCCAAAGAACTAATGAAGTGGTAAGCCTTGCCCTCTTCAAGATTCGTCCCTGGTTGTGTCTTTGCTATTAAACTAGCCCTTCATTTACAAACCATAAGATGGATTGTATATGTTGCTACGATATTCATATTAAAGCTTAATATTGTAATTTGAAATGTAATGTTTATTTGCATTTCCACCAGGGTCAAATTTATAGTTCTTGTTCAGCAAAAGTAGAGTTTACAAACAAGAGGACATTCTGTTTCTTGTTGATTCTCAGGCAGGGCTTTTTCATACTTTTTATGGGATGGGGTCCACTTTCTTCTTCTCTTGCATGTCTTGTGAGGCTGTTGTACTGTCAAAGCCGAAAGTGTTGCAGAAGACAAGGGCCTTCTTCTTCTGCCAATGGGCATCCAAGAAATCCACAACCAAACAGACGGAAAACGAAGTGGGTTTGATAATTGAAAATTACTAAAATGATATTATTCTTCAAGTTTTGAGCTCTGATTTTTCTCTTGTGAAAAATGAAATTTAAAATAAGTTGAGCCTTGAGAGATCCACAGGATGAGGACAGATATTGTAATTCAAAGAGGGCTTACCCTTTATTTAGAATTTTTTTGGGGGGGGGGGGGGGGGAAGAAAATGAATGAGAGAGAAATAGGGAGAAAAATGTTTTTTCCCTTATATTTGGAATAATGAATAGAGAAGAAAATACAAAAAAAAAAGAAAAATGACTAATTTCATGATGGACAATAATACCCTTATGAAAAGGATACAGGCATCATATTTCATTTTTCCTTAGGGAAATTTTATCTTTTGATTAGGATAGATATCTTTTTATTAGAGGCTATCCTATTGCAGACAATATCAAAAAAAATAAATATAAGCATATCTCTTAATGAGGATTCGAAATTTTATTCACTTTGTTGTGAAAAAAATTAGTCTCTTCTGCTACACACACCAATATTTATCAGTTTTTATGGGATAATTTTAAAAAGGGTGTTTTTTTTCTTGAAAATCAAATCTTTACTTTTAAGGGAAAAACTTTGAAAGTAACATATAGCCATATGGGCCTTTTCCCCCATCACTTTTATCATTCTTTCTCATTTCTTTTCTTGTCATCTAGACGAGAAAATTCTATATCTTCTTGTTTCTTCCCTCTAATTTTCTCTACTATTTTTCCCTAATTTTAACAAATAAGTTGTCACTAACTTTCTTTTGACAAGAGCAGCTATTTAGCACAATCAGATTTAACCTCACACACCCAAATGAAAACTACTGAAATGAAATTGTTGTTCAAGTTAGAAGATTAAAGTTACTTTTGCTGAAACAAAGAAGGAAAAATGACAATAAAATCCCTTTAAAATATATAAATTAATTTGATCCCTCAAAATATTATAATTTCCTTGAAGTCCTTAAAGAAATTTTTCTCATTAATGAATTTATATAAATTACCCTTATTAAATATAAATGATTCACAATTTTATTTAAATAGTCGTACTATTCGTAACTTTTTCTTATATTCGCAATAATATAACAGCAAATCACTTCGCATGTTAAATTCTTCATTTGTTATTGTATTGTTGCCAATAAAAAAAAAATTATGAATATTTAAACAAAACTTATGAATCATTTATTTTTAACAACAACAATTTGATAATTTTTAACAAGAGATCAAATTATCATTTACATATTTTGAAGAAATTTTAATTATTAGTTTTTCAACAAAAAAGTTGCCAATAATAGGCAATATTTCAAAGTTAGTGGAGTGCAAGTTTTGGTGTGACTGGCTTGCAACGAAGGACCATTATAACAGTTGAGCTGTCACTACATTTGATGCCATATATTATTTTTGCAAGATCGCAAGTCAATGTCACCTACACCTGTTCTTTTGATTTTTTTTTAAATTTTTCAAAAAATGTCCTATCCGTTACATTACATTCTGTCAGTACTCAAAAACTTTAAATTCAAATTCCTCTACTAGTATTACCATATCTGTCAGTTCTCAAAAAAATTAAATTCAAATTCCTCTACTAGTATTACCATATCTGGATGCTTTTGAAGGGCATTAATGATAAAGAATTCTTGTTTTGAGGGAATTTATGAGATATATGAATTTGTTTCAGCCCACACTTAATTGAAATTTAAAAATTGTGATGTTTAAACTGTGTCGTAAGTGGACAGCGACCATCAAATGGCCAACGTCAACATATTCATACGTCTGGCTTAAAAAAAAAAAAGATATAAATTCATATCAAATTGTTTGCCTCCTGTTTATATTCAACATAAATATATATGTGCCCGCGCGTGTAAAAGTCAACAAATTGATTGGCTAAACAAAGTAAAAATATGACTTAAGCAAAATATGTCATCCCCGTATTTTCCAAAGTGGACTTAATAGTTTTATTGATTAAATACACTTTTTTATAAACCATATAAAGTTTGAAGAATATGTCGCACTGGTTATTCACAAGTTAATAAGTTATGAATGACATTAATCATAATTTGGACATAATTGAGACTATTTCTCAAGAACCAGTCTAAAGGAGTATATTTTCAGGATCACAACGCATGATCTATCTTCAAAAGAGGGGGAGGGGGTCACTTTTTCGAGCTCAATCCATAAATGGGAAAAGCACAAAGGCCCAACAGTTTGCCTCAATAAATAGTTTAATCCTCATAGGTTACCCAAATCAATAAAAGTGCCACGTGTGAAAACTATGTTTGCATGCATGGTGCTGAAACGGCTAACCATTGATCCTAGCCTAGGTAGCACCACGTAGAAAATAACTAAACTTGCATAAGCAGGTAATCAGCTTCAGCTATTGATACTGGTCAAGCAGTAAAAAAAAAAAAAAGGAAAAGTAACATTGAATTAACACAGGGCAGAGTTACTGAATCTGAATACCCGTGTCTCAATAATCATGAGATATAACAGTGCGACCCAGCGTGCAACAAACAAGATCCACATAAGATTTTGAAACAAAACACCAAGAAAGTATAACTCAAACAAAGGAACAAACCAGTCAACGGATACAGGCGGGCTATGATTGTGTGATGTAAGGTTGAAGGCATGGGTAAAGCCATGGAAGCATAAATCTCATTAGGTAGGAAGAGACTGAAATGCAATTGTAGAATAGAAGCACTAATTTAGATCAATTCAATAACCAATCGAACCTATGAAACTGGCTGCAGGCAGAGGACTAGAATGGAGGGTCTAGGTTACCAAATATTGACGTGAGAGATCTATTTGACATTACAAGCCAAACTGCAGGTCGTAGCGTTCTTTTTCCCTACAACTGTGACCAAGGTCTCTCAGGTGGGTCAAAAAGAATGAGTTACCATCAAACACAAGCTTCGGAATGGGAACCTATATATCAGATATTAGATCGCCCAGCAGCTGATTTCAGAAAAAATAAACAAAAATACGACGGCCCAACAGGCTCAAAGAGGAGACATATCCACTTCTTGGTTTACTAAAACCTAGGACAAGACACGTCTGATAATTATAAGCCAGAACAATGCAAGGCTTAACTATCTATAAATTGTATTTGGGTTAAATCTGCAAAACTGAAGGTTGCAGACTGAAGTTGGAGTAAAAGCAACAAAAAGTTGTTTCCACCACACAACCTTCATTTTGAACCCAAAAGCCATTTCAGCCCAATTTTTATCCAAACACAAAATTTTACCTCCAACCTTACTTTTGGGTTCCAAACCTCAGTTTGATAGTTACCGAAACATAGCCGAAGTATCTCTCCCTCAATGTAAAATAAAATGCTGTCTAATTGTTGTCAAAGCCCAGAAGGTTTAAGGTCGATATCTCATCATCTCATTATTTAGTACTCATTTTCACACATTTGTATGTAAGCTTCAAAGTTCAAACCATACGTTGCTGCTATATGCAGCAAACAGCCCTTCTCAATTTCCAACATTTCCTTCATGTTTTATGGAGAATGGATTGAAAATGACTCAGGAGGGTTGCTCGCCTCGTTATTTAATCAATTGCTGATCTCTACATTTATATAAGGATATTCGAGCACAAGATGATCAAACAGTAACAGGCAACAAATATCTCAAAGCCGAACAAAAGCCCGAATAAGCCTGTGTTAATACATTCAAATTTGGAAAAGTGATTCACAGAATAGGTATATTACAAGAAATGAGATGATAAATGTAACTTTTGTCACCCATCCTGCTTTGTCAGAACTCAGGACAGCTGGAACTTCAGATGAGTAATTTATTTCTTTCGCAAGCACATTGACGGAACAACCTGCATTTTGCAGCATCAGCATTATAATTTGTACTCGATCATTGGGCCCTTAAGTTTTACACATAAACCAAATCAAATTTCTAAGTCTAAGTATATAATGGCACACTTCAAAATAGATCTCTCCAAATACAAATGAAAAGATGATTATGGAAACACATACTTCTTTTGTTTTCCTTCATGAGGGTGGAAAAAGGGGAAATACAAATCAATTCAACAATGCCATCACATACAGGTTGTTATATTTGCCAAAGAGACATTAAATAATGTAATTTTTATTCTGAAGCCTGTCGTTCCAAATATCCAACTTTTAGAAGCAAATAACTTGCGGAGTTTACAGGAAACTAGTCTCAAATCACACCATTTCATTAGGTTAGCAGCAAAGTTATTGCTTAAATGCATAGCCCTCCAATTCTACTAGTCTTGGTTCTTTCATCATAGCATGTGACATTTATCCAAGACACAGTGCCTCCTAAAGCTTAGCAGTACACATAGACGTGTTATCAGCATACAGAATTTCTCAATTGGACAGCAATGCCACACAAGCCAATCTTGGGCAAAATACCCAAAAAAAAAAAAAAAATAGTTTATTACTGGCAGTAACAAGAACAACACTGCACCACCACCAATGATTCATAATAGTGGATAGACATCTCCAAAGAATTAAGATTTTTGGGCCTCGTTTGATATTACAAAAGAGAGTTCATGGCTGAGCCCCTTTTTTTTTTGGGGGGGGGGGGTAATGCCTATTGAATCTTCCTTATAATTACTCGACTCAAAATAAGGATATGTTGATCATTTTTCATCACAAAATCACTATTTTCATTCTCTTTCTGTTGCTCATTAGCATTGAGGAGCCTTGTAGGAAAAGAACCAATTATATTCATGAAATCTCCTTATGTCTCTCAAAAACAACTCTCGCAACAAAATCCATAGTTCATTTTCAATCTACATGTATGAAGTTTTGTGTTACTTCAGATTTTTTCCCCTTCCTTTTGCTTATAAGTGTCACTGTAAGTTTGGATTTCATGTGCTAAAAAACAAATTGATGCATCTTCCCACCCCGCTCCTATTCTTTCTATTGTAAACGAAGCTCGATTTGTACAAACCAGCCAATGGAAAAAATTACTAGAATCCTATTCAAAACCCTAGGGACCAAAATCAAGAATCAGCCATATGCTGCCACAAAACAGCTTCAAAATACGAATAGAACAAAGATCGTCGCCTGAGAACAGGAAGATCATTCAAAAGCAGAAAACAGAATAAGAGGGATGAACAAAGAAGGTAGATACCAGTACCAGGTTAATTGGCAGAAGCAGAAGAGGATAGCTCCATGAGCTTCTTGTCCCTTCTTTCCATCGCAACATCCCACATATCGTTCCCAATGTGCTTCGGCTGCAAGATCCGATCATGTTAAATGGGTAAGAATGAATTTATATACCTGATAATAAAAAGCGAAAAACAAAACAAGAAGAAGAAATACTCGGCCATGAGCGGCTCTGTGAATGTAATACTGAGCGTTGCCCATAACACAAAGCATTCCAGCTATAATTCCTAGGGGAAGGGCAGCTTCCAACCATATCCAAGCCATCTTCTTCGATCCCTGATCTATTCGTATCCAGCGACGCCAGCGATTCGTTTCGAAGGGAACAGATACCTCCAGCTTCTGATCAATCTCGTAACAGGCCTCCTCCGATGGGCTTTTTATTGGGCCGTACACCAAAGCTGTGGACAATCAGTGGGCTCAAATGAATCCATGAGCAAATCAGCACACAAAAAAAAAAGAATCCATGTGTGTGACAATGAAATCAAAAGTGTTTTGGGCCCCCGTAACTTATTTAACCCTTCCTCGCAACAAAAGGAATCCTACACGTAAGCATAAATTATCCGCTCAGCACACAATATCGGGCCCCCCACCCTCCACAATACCCCACTTTTTGGGCCACATGGGGATTGAACCCAAAACACCGTTGTATCAAGGCAAGGGTTCAAAAGTTGACACTAACTTTGTACCCAAAAAAAAAAAAAGTTGGAGACTAACTTGTTATATCAAATAAAAAGTTGAGACTAAATAAAAAAAAAGGGCTGAAAACATATTATATTGAAATTCAGGTCTACTTGACCAGAGAGCCAACAAACAATTAAACCTTGTTTTGACCAATAATCTTTGAATAGAGTTGGTGATTCGGTCGAGGCAAGCATATTTGGACGCTGAACTTACAAAAAACTCTTAATAATCAAGCCTCGTTTGAACTTTTTTGAACTTATTCAAACCAATCAGAATGTTTAAATTGAAAATTGAAATGAATCATGAAGGAATACTCCAAGAAAGAAGTCTTAGTGAGGCATTATCATATCCAAATAATAGATGATATTCTTCTGAAACTAATAAATATGCCCATTTGTGTGTGTGTGTGAAGAAGAAGTGGGATGTATTACTATGTATGTATGTATGTATGTATGGAAAAAAAAAAAAAAAACATCCTAGGATTCTTCACAAGGGGACAGAGGCAGTTAATAAACAAACAGAGAATAGAAAGGAATGGGCCCCTCGTTGCCATTTCCTCTACCCACCCTCCCTTGTTTTTTCTTGTTCTCTTGTCTTAAAATTGTGCGTGTGTGTGTGTGTAAATTTTAATTAAAACTCACAAATAATGTTATGTTATGTCTTTTCTTATTGGTCATTTATCCTTGCCATTCATAACCAATTTTGTTATTCTCTTTTTTTTTTTTTTTTCTCGCAGATGGAATCATTCAGCTCTTTTGGCCCCTCCTAGCATGAATTTCAAGCTGCGAGCTTTGTTAGTGTTAGGCTGTTGTCCTCAATCAATCAATTAATTAAAAAATATATTTTAAAAGATCTACACGAGATCCTAACAATTGTACGCATAATATTGACTAGTTTTATTGTGATCCTTGGTCACCTTGCGTTGTTCTTTTATAAGGAACTACAGCGCGAAAGTAAATAAAATAATTAGATGAATAAACGCCTCTCTAGAAAGGATCACTCTGATCCGGACAGATTCTCTTAGCATGGGAATTTAATTATGGGAGAGGAAAATCAACACTCTTACGAAAAAAATTACTAATTTTATTTTTTAATACTTGAATATAAGAACTATGGACCCGTTTGTTTTAATTTGTTTCATGAAAAAATTACTTATTTTTTTAAAAAAAATTGTTTTATAAGTTCCTATTATGTTTGTTTAACTTTTAAAAACAATCAGAATCCAACAAAAATATTTCTAATTATTTTAAGAAGATATTTTGAGAAACTTTTAAAAATAATTTAATACGATAAATGAGAAAGAGTATTTTAAAGAGGTGGAATATACAAAGATATTATAAAATTTAAAAATAGATAACTAATAATATTTTTTATTATTGTAACCAAATATATAATTATATATGCTTTTTATAAAATATTTATGAAATAAATATTTTTTATAAAATATCTACATTATTTAAAAATTATTTATTTTAAATTTAAAACAAATGACCCTACATATTTATAAAAGTTCGATATTTTGGTATAAGGAATTTTTTAATTTCTTAAATTCGTTTCAATTATCCTTTTTTTTATATGAAGAAGATCACAGTGAAAAAAAATTAACTGAGTCTATGTTAGTTATGGCTTGACGTGACTTCAAAAAATCGGTTGTCATTGATCAAAAAAGAAAGAATAATGTGAAGAGTAAGACTTAGACTTCCTTCATGGGCATTTGTCTACGTGTGCCTCATGTCATCATGAGAAGAGCATAATTGTTTGTACGATCGAAGATAGATTTTCCTTTTTTTTTTTTTTTTTTTTGTCGGTTATATAATAAGAATTTAATCATTATTCCTTTGTTCATGTGTCAATTAAAGCTGTAAAAGGGTCAGGTCTAAACGACGTGATCTTATAAAACTTAATTATATTTCAAAACTTTATTTTATCAATTCATTTTAGCCCTCAGGACCTCAGCCATGTATATTTTTTTATTTTTAATTTAAAATTTAAAAAATGTATTCAAAATTTAAAAAAATTATTACACATAACATTAACTTTATAAAAACAAATTTAAGTCTAGTGAAAAAAACAACATCACAAAATTAACACTAATAACAATCAGACTTTGTTATCATTATTAGTGAAATTTTGATATTTTTATTATCATTAATCTCAATATAATTTCATATTTTTCTTTCTAAAGTCTCAACAGCAGCAAAAATATTAAGTTTTTTATATATTTATACTTCATCCCGTGAAATGAGACAAGGATTTTAAAATTAGTGTAGTATTAATTTTTTTAATATTAAAATTTTTAAAATAATTATAAAAGAACTTAAAAGGGCTAGCCTTAATCATAAAGGGCCTACCCTTTTTATTTTAGAGCTTAAACCGACTAGCTTTTTTAAGTTTAAATTATCATTTTATATTCTAAAGTAACAATCTGACTCTAAATTTTTTTAAGCTTAAAAAAACTGGCCCGACGAGTTTGACTCTAATTGATGGCTCTAATTCATATCCCACCACGCTCTTAAGTCTTATCACACGATATATTATTTTATAGATAAGTACTCTCTCCAAATCACAATATAAATTATATTTTAAAAGCATCTCTTAGTTTAAAATAGAGTGTTAGATAAATTTTTTTATTTCTTTTTTCATTCATACCCTCTTTTTTTATTCTTTGTCTTTAAATGCTTCATATTTAAAGACCATATACGTATTACTAAGTACTTTTAGATGGATATAAATGAAAAGATGTAAATATTTTTTAAAAATTAAGGTTTTAACTAATTTTTTATAAATCATAAATTAGTTAATAATGAGATATATATTGTGATTAAGAGGGGGTAGTTTTTAATGGTTTCATGATCGATAACGATTATTCACATAACTAATGACATTATCGAATTTGACAAGTCTATGGAACCAATTAATGGTCCTTTCAATTATTACAGGAAAAGAATTGAGGGTACGTGGAGATCCAAGCTTCTATGAGGGAGGGAAACATGGAGCCATGCTCGTCCCTTTGCATTTCTTAGTTGTCCGTTAGTTGTTTTGTGTGTGTGTGTGTGTTTGTTTGTTTGTTTTAAAAAAAAAAATCGTGAGCAAGAAAGAAAGAGCAAGTTAATTACATGTTGCAAGACACTTTTTGGAGTATTTTTTGTCATTAATATAAGGCACACTATGAGGTAATATTAATTATGTTTTTTTAATATTAGTTTTATTTAAAATCATTATCTATGAGAGAAGATGTATGCAAATGTAAAAAAAAAATATTTAAATATGAGTAAAATTGAAAGTTTATTTATTCTATTTTCAAACAAATTCTTGATTTTAGTAAAATAGTTGGAAATGTCTTATAACAAGGACCTGAGGAGTAGTTTTTTTTTTTTTCAAGAGAAAATTTTAGTGAATTTGCAACTCTCAATGACAACATAACACAATTATAAATTCACAATTCTCATTATACCTACTTGAATTGTTCATTTTCTATACATTAGTTATTCATTTTTTCTGTGTGAGTTGTTCATGTACTTAACTTTACTTGTTTATGTTTATAGTAATATTATGCTATTAATGAAAGTTATCAATTTCACACACATTAATTGTTTATTTTTCATACATCAATTGTTAATTTTTTTACACAAGTTGTTTATGCGCCGAACCTCATTGAAAATAATAAGATCATTTCAGTTAACTTTTTAATTTCATTTCAATCCCTTATATGTGTGATGTAATTTCAAAATTATAGGGGCATTAGTTGAAATTAAGTTTATTTAAGGAGTCCTCATTCAAATTTTCCCTTTTTTAATTTCACACATGTGTCTTTTTATTAAAAATAATCATGCTCAAGGTGATGGAATATAGGTTATAGGAAAGTTGGTTTAATTATTCACAAGAATTAATCTCAATCTTAGGATTTGAGTTTCATAACATATGGATGTGATAATCTTATTGATCAATAATTTGGATATATTTTTATAAGCTGACTTTGAGTTGGTAATTCTAAATTTTTTATGGTTTTCATGAAATCAGATAAGTATGACTTAAAGTAATTTTTTTCTTTTTAAAAAATGAGGTCAACAAAGGACGTGTAAGTTTTTTCTTAAAAACTCAATAGACTAGAAAGTTAGATGATAATTTCAGTTCCTCTCCTTATTTAAAAGAGAAATTAAAAATAATTGACTCTAACAAATGCTCCCTTTCAAATGAAATTATTATTATTCATGTAATTAAATAAAATTTAATTATAATAATCAATATTAATGGCAACTTCAAAGTGATTTGTTTTTAGTTATATTCATGTTGGCTGCATCACATAATGATTACTTGATCATTAAATCATTATTTATTAATTTTGCAAACTTATTGAAATCTTCAACTCTTGCAATAATATTCATACTTTAATTTATATGTTGAATGAATAGATATACATGACACAATTAATTTATTATCAACTTTGCCCCATGTTTGTTATTTTACAATTTTTTTAACTTTCTTTTTTGGATTCGAACACTTGACACCCACATTCAACCCACCAATAACAACGAAAACCTTGTTTTTAATAATCTAAGTTATCATATACGGGTGATTCTTCAATTTTGTATCTCTAAAGGTCCATTAAGGATGATGAAAATAAGAGGGGTGGATATGTATATGG